TTTTTCCTTTTTTTAATTCTTCCTCACTCTTCTTGCCCATGCTTTGGAAAACTACAAGTTTGTTGCTTCGGTTCATCCACACTTAATTAACTACTGTATTTTTCGGACTCTAAGATGCACCGATGTATAAGATACACCAAGATTTTGAAGAGGTAAGTAAGAAAAAGGGTTTTGTCCTCCCCAGCCCCCTGGACCACTCTGCAGGTTTCAGCAAGGCTGGGGGAAAGCAAAACACCCCTGTTTTGGGGGGGAAACGGGCAAAAAACTGAGGCATTTTTACCTTCCCCCAGCCCTGCTGAAGCCTGCAGAGTGCTGCTCGGGGAAGGCAAAAATGCTTCCATTTTTGTGAAAAACAGCCTGTTTTTCACAAAAATGTGGTGCAGGGGCAGGACTTCAGGAGGCCAAAAATGGCTGTATTCAGTGTATAAGATGCACCAACATTTCCATGCTCTATTGGGGGGGAGGTACGTCTTATACTCCAAAAATACGGTATATAGCGTACGGAGGCCATTCTTATAAGTAGGAATCAAAGAAACGTAAGCCGCTTTTCCATGCTCACCTTCGTGTTGGCGCATACTTTCCCCTTCTTATAGTCTTTGTGGCAGCCCCTCTTATCCAACTTGGCCCAAAGAGCTTTAGCTTTCCAATAACTCAACTTGGATTTGAGCTTGTGGTAGAAAGTACGGTAATCCTTGGGCTTCAGCTCCAAATAATCACAGAGCTCTTGAAAGGCTTTCAGAGTCCCTTTGCAAGTGGAAGCTTGGACAAATCGGTCAAATAGGATATGGGCCTGGTTCATCTTTCCATTAATCCCCTCCTCCATGCTTCCAGTTCGGCCAGGGGTTTCCCCGGCAGCTGATGCGTTCCAGTCTGCCTGTCTTCTGGTCCACTATTTTGCTCATCAATAACTGCTCCTTTTATTCCATAAGCATAATTAATCTAGAGAAAGGAAAGGAGGGAAAAAAAGATTACTAGATAGGCACAGATGAATTTATATCTACATTCACATCCTGTCATGAGCATAAAAAAAGCCCACTCGGCTTATATCTGCTAAACAGAGAGAAGGGCACAGAAAGGTACATTCTGAATAATATGGTCTGCCTTCTATCACATCATTAATTGCATTAAGCAGAGATTTCATGTTTCTGGCAAAATAAAGATTAGGAATTCTGTTTTTAAGGAAGACTTTTAAACCTATGCTTTGTGAGCTCTATCAATGTCTATATCATTCGTCCACCGCTAGAAAATCCACAATGCATTATCTAGCAATTTTCTTTCTGCGGAAGAATTAAGCCTGTCTACCTCTTCTTGCCTAGGTGGCGCCACCGTCTTGTTTTTTGCTTCTGCACATGTGCAGAACAATTTTTATTGTACTGCGCATGTACGTGTGGCGCACCCACGAGAAACCAACAGTAGTGACTCCCGGAACCAACCCCTGCCCCTAGTCCCTCTTTTCATTAAGCTAGATGTTATGAACACTATCCAGCAGCACTCATATAATAAACCACCAGCAAAACCTTCTTAGGAATGTACAAGCAAAGAAGGTGTTTCCATAAGTGTGGGTTAATTCAAATATGCTGCTTAATTTTGGTCAGTGCAATTACGATTTACAAATCAACTTCAAATTATGGTTTTATATGGGTTACGACCGATCTTTGGTGTCAGTATATCCTCAGGCATAATGCTTAACTATAGCTACAGAACTGTTAGAATATATACCTACATATAGCCACTAACATCACGAGGCATCTGGTTTTTTTAATACCATATTTAAGGAATATATTAAAATAGCAGAGGATGTATTGGGCCTCCCAGGCAGAGAAACTTCCACAAATGATGGGGGTTGTTATTTGTTCTGGACCAAATTCCTTTTTGACTTGCAATATGTGCCAGATGAAAAACCAAAGATTATATACATTACAGAGCCAGCAATCCAATTCTACCCACTTAATATGCTTTGAAAACGAGTTACCCATGCTGAATATATCCCACCCACTTCCTGAAACAAATCCTAGACTAATTACATGACAGATTAGCTATTGTCCATTGCCCAGACATAAAAGTGCAGCTGTGTTGAATAAATTCCTCAAGCACTACCTTTCCCTCTTTAAAGGCATCAAGGTATTGAGGCAGATACACATACGCAGGCAGGCATACGCACACAACGAAGGGACCTTATGAAGTAGAAGTAAGCTTTGATGCTTTATACACACCATAATGCACCTTGGGTTTCCTTTCAGTGGTGGGTTCCGGCCGGTACGCCCTGGTTCGGGTGTACCGGTGCCTGCTGAGAACAGTAGGCACCGTTCCGGTACAATGCTTCGGAGGGCCCACCCTCCTGCCTGCGCTCCTTACCTGTATTTGACCCAACCGGGCCATTTGCGCATGTGCACAGAGCGTACGGTGCCTGTGCGACGCTCCACCAAGCAGTTGGAGTGTCACAGGCGGTAGGTGCACATGCGCGCACAGCATGTGTGCACATGGTGGATGCCCGGCCCCGTCGCAGCGTACCGGTTGCGACAAGATCCGGAACCCACCACTGTTTCCTTTAGTATGAAGCACAAACTGGCTTTTGCAGCAAAGGTGGGAAATCTGTAACAAGAGGACTGCTTGAGCCTGGGATGTGGGAAGGGGTCAAAAAAGTCAAGATGCCTGCAACAGCGCCAAATCTGACCCCTTTGGTGTGCGTGTCATATATTCACATACAAAAAAGAGTGAGGCTTCAACTGCTTGGGTACCATCATAACTTTCTGGATGACTCTAGCTCAGGAGTGTCAAATTCGTGTTGTCTCATCATCGTCATATTACGTACCATATTTTTCCTCTTTGCTCTAAAATAGGGGGTGGGGGTGGCCAATGCGTGATGCATCTGGCCCATGGATGTCCTAATTTGAGGACTATAGTGCCATCCCCGACAAGCACTGCAAATCTGTGGTTTTCTAGCATTCTGAGTCATGAAACATGTGAAAACCATAATATAGGTCTTAAAATAGTTTCGGACAAACTTTAGAAAGCTCTAACTACTCCACCCCAATCTCTGGAAGATAAAAACAAAAATCATTTAAGCTAGCCAGCTGCATAAAAATCCCACCCACTGTAGGTCTCAGACTTCTCTGAAATATGTGGCCTGTAGCTACCAAACAGTTGCCCACCCTTGCTCTAGGTTTTAACATTACACTATTTGTAAACCAAAATTACTATGGTTGATAGGGTTGACTAGGCCTTAAAAATTCTGGTTCAGTGTTTAAACAAAGGCAGCACTATGTTCCTTTATCAGAGACCCGCTGGCAACGGGCATTTTCCCCCCTCCAAAGTTACTCAGTAAAACCTAATATATACAAAAATGAAAGCCTAAAAGTTTTGCAAAGCATTCAAAAGGGCTCTTTCAAAAGGCACCTCTTTTTGAAGTATTAAAGCACACGCATCCTTTTAAAGCTTCCTTGATGGTTTAAGGACGTGGTGGCTCAGTGGCTAAGACACTGAGCTTGTCGTTCAGAAGGTTGGCAGTTCAGTGGTTTGAATCCCTAGCGCCGTCTAACGGAGTGAGCTTCCGTTACCTGTCTCAGCTTCTGCCAACCTAGCAATTCAAAAGCATGTAAAAATGCAAGTAGAAAAATAGGAACCACCTTTGGTGGGAAGGTAACAGCATGTGCCTTTGGTGTTTACTCATGCCGGCCACATGACCACAGAGAAGTCTTTGGACAGCGCTGGCTCTTCAGCTTTGAAACGGAGATGAGCATCGCCCCCTAGAGTCAGGAATGACTAGCACATGTGTGAGGGGAACCTTTACCTTTACTTTTTCATGATGGTTTAGCAGCTTTTACCTGGTTATCTCCACATCTGTGTCCCAGGTGCAAATAACTCCTCCACTGGGGCTCCCAGGCAAGTAAAAGTGCTGTGTTTTCCCGAAAATAAGACAGGGTCTTATTTTCTTTTGACCCCCAGAATAAGCACTTGGCTTTATTTTTGAGGAGCCATTATTATTGTTGAGGTTCAGAAGGCGGCGAGCATGGTCACCTCATGGCTGCTGCTGTGTTACAATATTTTGAGCTTATTATCCGGGGAGGTCTTATTTGGGGGGAAACAGGATAGTTGTGCATGTCCATGCATATATAAGAAAAAGCAACCAGAGACAACTTTTGAGGCAGCTGTACAAGCTGTGTAAAGATGCAGCTGTGTTAATGCTGTGAATAAAACTGCTCAATTGCATTGCCATGCTGTATAAAGCTTGTTTTTCAATTGCCCTGTAAGGCACAAATTGTTATCACTATAAACTCACTAACATGTGAGCTTTCTGTTTCTTCTCTTCTAGCAATTGCTTCTAATCTAAGATTTAAAAAAATCCTTTGAATTCTGTGTGTGTGTGTGTGTGTGTGTGTGTGTATATATATATATATAAAGTCACAACCCCTGGTATGCCCAAATATGGGAGGAAGGTCACACTTCCATTCTCTGTCCTTCGGCTCATCACAAGAGACCATCCAGACAGAAACCCAATATTTTTTACTGTTGCCTTTTTGTTACATTTACATATTTGGGCATACCAGGGGTTG